TTTGGGAATTGTATATGAAACAAAATATCTTGTAAATGGCCCACGGCTTTGCTGGCACAAGCGTACTCTTTTGATAAAATTTTCAATAGCATTATTGTATATATGTGCCGGTATTTTATTGATACAGCGTTTAATTTCGGCTTTCAACGCTTCGGTGGTCGCGGGCATGTTGGCATAAACCTGTGACTATAAGTAACCCAACAGCCAGAAGTCCAAAGGTGCTAAATCACAAAAACGTGGCGGCCAATCCTGGTCACCAAACCGGGAAATAACCCGACTGGGAGTAATGTTTAACAATTAAGACGCGATTATGTTCCATATCCAGATCCATATCCAGATCCAATGCTCCATATTTACTAACTCCCAACTGTTAAATTTCGATCTGTATGTTATAATCACGTGTTATTATGACTGTCAAACATGACAGGCAATTCAAATCTTGCGGTCTTATTGAAACACCCTATATGTATAGTTATTAATATTTAACTAATAACGTAAATCCTGTATTATAACTCAACATTATTTAAAAACATTAAATAAATTCATTTTATTTGAATTTAATGCTAATTATGGTTTATTAATGACTAATTAATAATAACGGGTTAAAAATGTTCCAAACTTTGGAAATTTAAAAATTGTATAAATGCGAAGAATTGAGATTTATCTCCAAAAATATGGATTTTATAGAAAATTACAAAGAGTATAAAATTATTATAAATAAACCGATAAATCTAGTTTCGATTCAAAAATTAGGTGAATAATAAGGCGGAAGAATTAGGACTCTAGGGAAATACACAATACAGAATATGTCACCAAATAAATATATTCTGTACAAATTTTCACGAAAAAGAGTTAAGCCATTCTGACCCAATATCAAAAAAAACTTCTTTTTTATTTTTAACTTTAAAACCTTTAATTTTTAACAAATACATAATAATACATATTTAAATATCCCTTCAAGAGTAGTAAAGGAACTAGGGTAATTAAATAAACGTTAGATGTGTAGTTGGCCTTTCACTATTTATTTATATACCTTTACTCTTTCTCTCGGAATATTGATTTTATTTCAATTTTTTCTAGTTACTCTCGATAGTACCAAAAACGATGTGTCGACTTGAGAGAAACTCGCGACATGCTAGCTCACGGAGAGTAATCAATTAACTCTCAAATAGTTGATCTCACAACATTGTCCACTGGCGAGAACTACTCTCGAGAGCCGCTCTTGAGAGTTTTTCTCTCAAATGGACACCTAGCATAAGGGTCAAATAATGAAGCAATACCAGTAAGAGATAACGTTAAATACATCGATATCAAACTTGATTAGAAATGCTTCCCAAATTAAACCCCATGTAGACATATGAAATATCTCCGTTTGAATGCGTAAAAAAGTCAATTAAACAAGTGATCCAATGATTCCAAACAAAAATCCTAAGGAAGATGATACGTAAGCAATAAAACCCTGCAAGTCGATTCAACAATACCATTCATCGAAGACGAAATAAAATTATTTACAACTATCTGAATGAATTGGAGATCAATGAAGATGCTATGAACTTAAACCTCCCAACCTAACTGAATCCCAACCTCCCCTGTATAACTGAAATTGAGCTCTTTTTCGTTACTTTCGAGCTACAATTGTTTACATGCTACAGTTTGTTTTAATATATTTTTTTTAAATTGGTAAGGGCCACGGGGTATGTAATTTTTCAAAGGCGCTATCACATACATTTTTAACCCGAATTAATCCTTTTGATTTTCAACCTGAGTAACGATCGCAGATACGGAAAGGCAGTTTGCATGCGGACATTAAACAACCGGGAACGGGACTCGTAAAAGCGGAGAGAGTTGTAATGTACATGTAAGCATCTGAAACGAGATATAACCGTATGAATAATTTAAGTCAGTGCAGGAAATTGAGGCACTCACGGCAACGAGCTGGCGTTTGATAACAGGAATTATGTACGGATGATCCAGATTCTTGTTTATTTTTAGAATGCGCGTACACCCGGAATTTCGGTTCGAGCTTTTCGATTTGCAACTGCGTTATTTCTTCGTTCGCTCGTAAATAAAATGTCTGAAAGAATTATAATCCTTCGTTCTCCTTTACCAAGGTTTTACAACTTCATTTATATTTTGTTCTCATTTCGAATGCTATCATGCGCTTAAATATGTCTCTCGCTTTTGCGGCTCACATTCTGCATTCTTGAATACCGACATGCAAACTACCGTCAAGCGGGCTTTTTGGCCTATTTTTCGGTTGGATCTCATAATTCGGTAGCCGGTTTTATATTACGGTATAATAGTTTCATGAAATTTCGTACATTGAAATATTTTCTTCTCTTTTTTGTTCTCTTAAATGCGATACAAAAAGAAAGGGTTTAGGAACGAACAACTAAGGGAAGTTGAATAATTTATGGATTATTTTAAGAGTCCTTGTAAACCCATTATTTTTGTTTTGGGCACAGAGCGTTCGTTGGTGGACTGTTTCCATTTTCGTCTATCTCTTGCCAGGAATCCCATTTCCTCGAATGACACGTCAGTTTCCTGTTGTGCATTCTTTATCCATGTTTTTTTAAGGAGCTTTAGTATCCTTTTCCCTTCGGAACAACAACCGCAATAATCTTTTCCAAAAAATGTCTGCTAATATAATGTATTCGCTTGCTCCCATTAGTACCTTACTGTTCGCCGTTTGATAAAACATTTTTTCTTATTTGGTCGAAGTCCATATGTATAGGTAGCTCCTCTTTTGATCCGATTTATTAAACCTTATCAATGGAATGATCACTGGACTATTTCATTTTGAAATATTTCAGCGCGAAATGTTCTATTATTCGGCCTTGATTTATCGCTAAAGATTCTTCTGGATCTCTTTGTTCTCGTAGTGAACAATTGAGGTCCCGTGCCTTGTAATTTTATTAGATTTATATACCTACCTAGTTGCAAATGATGATCGCTGCAGATCGATATGGAACATCACGAACCAGAAAGTGCAAAAATTATTTTTTCATTAATATTTATTTAACAAATATGTGTATTAATAAATTCAAAACTACATTGATCTAGTTACGGTATACACAATGACAAAAAAGAACCTGGAAAATTGGAACAGAACGCAAAATTCCTAATAGTTTCTAATTTTTCTTGAATATTCTTCAAAATATGGTCCTTTTAAAGCGATAGACACAGTCAAACGCCTTTTCCAATCATCGAAACATTTTTATAGGACCTTTTTGGTACGGCTTTTAGCTCCTTCTCCGAATTTTCTTTGATGGCATTTATAGAGTCAAAACAGGATTCCCGGAGTGACAATTTGAGTTTGGGAAGCAAAAAATGTCGCACGATGCTATTTCTGGTGAGTAAGGCGGCTGGTAGATGGTACTTCACACGAACCAGCATCTGCATCGACCAGTTGACTTTACTTAACTCAGCTCTATCGGAACGAGCCGAGCCTCAATTCGCAGCATGTCTGATTAGTTGAGCAAAATCAAACGAGCGGTTTAACGCGAGATGTAGAGGTACTTTAAGTATTTGCATTGATTCGCCCACGAAATTCTGTTCAAAGCCCAAAATATGAGACAAACTCTGTTCATTATTTTTATTCATTGCAAAATTCGCAGAGCACTACTGACATGAACTTATTCATGTCAGCTGCTACAATGAAAGTGATTGGGAAATCTTTCTAATTTTTTGCATGCTTATTAAGAACAGTGTTACCTATGTAACATACAGAAACTTGAAATAGCTAAAAATATTAAGTGCAGGTAATTTAAATTTCGGGATACTTTTTTGTCACAGTGTAGATAAATCATTTTTTTCTGTTACTACATATATCAATAAAATTAAATTATTATCACAGTTTTCATTAGCCGTATCAGAAGTTTCAGGATGTGTTCATTTCCTTTGTTTATAATTTAATTCCCTGCCTATCTCAACAGCTCTTTTACTGTACACGATCTAATTAAAAGGGTATTTGAACTGCGCATATGACTATTTTTCACATTAATTGGAAGTACGTGTGCATTCTTTGAAATAGGCATTAAAAGGTATTACAACACCGATACAGCCGAACTGGTTGCGGTGTTGTAATCATTTGATTAAATTTTACCGTTCTCTTTACCCACACGAATGGGAATAATCCGATGTTAATTAATGCTTAATAGGCATAATCTCATTGTGTCGAGCTTTAAAGTGTCATAAGTACGGAGTGGTTCAAATAAATCGATAATTCTTTACATTTAACATTTTTGATTTAATTAAAATGGTTGTTTCCGATTTTTTCCCCGATACAATTTAATTTGTGTCGAGCTTAAATTATTATGATTAACTTTATAGAAGTTTGTATCATTTATATCATCACGACGATGAAACTAAAAGTTACTCAATTATTTCATCAATCATTACAGTAGTGTAGGCAGTCGAATTTGGTATTAGAAACAAACTTACTGCTGTGCTTCGGTGTAAACGGAAATAAAACCGTTCATGAAGTAGTCGTAAAATTTTACATACCTATAAGAATAAATTTCGAGTCCTTCTCTCTCAAGATATCACTTTTAATGGAAACAAACAACTGTAACAACTTAGTCTTATGATACCGTATCTTAGTGAGAAAAAAATCGTAAAACATATTCTTCCGGCATCAACATAATCTCCACTTACCTTGCCAGGAGAATTTCGTATTTTATTAGACCATAAACTGGAAATATGTATTCAGATTAACCCCGACCATTTCATAGCCACGTAAAATTTGTCCTCGCTTTTAGTGACTTTTATAGTCGAAACAGGAAAATCGCCGTTTATTTATTTGAGAGTTAGAGACCGAAAGAGGGTAAATTTATTTAAAGCTTCAACGGACTCTATCAAAAGCTGAATATGAATTAGTCTCATTTGTTTGTTAATCAACGTATTAACAGCGGCTTTTGTGTGAATTTTAAACCGCGTGATTTAACTGTATCAAATTGAGAGAGTGAGAGTTGAAATTTATGTTAAGTTATTTTTTTCAGAGGCAAGGTTGTATCCATGGCGAAGATTTACCCTACTTATTTGGAGCACCACTTGTAGGAGGATTAATGCATTTCACAAAGAACTACACAAAATCTGAAGTGGCCTTATCGGAAACGACTATGATATATTGGAGCAATTTCGCCAGAACCGGGTAAGTTTACTAATCTATTCCAATAATTACTATCGATTAAGATTCTCCAGTAGCAAGGAGATTTTCTAATTAAACAAAAACGTACGTTTGAAACCAAAATATTCTCCACTTTTCCAGTCTTGTAATCCAGAAGTAGATCTTAATCTAATGAAAAAGAATTGCGCCTGCCTATTATTCCATCTTCCTATTAATTTGTTGCGAAACTTTCTTATTCAATTTAAAGCCAAATTAGTAGAACGTAGGCCAGTTACATTAGTTAAATGTACTCGGAGCTAATGTAAAAACTTCCGCTAGAAGTTCCCACTTTACATATTAACGGTTAACGCTTAATTGGAAAACTCTTTGAAGTGTTAACATTTCCGGATGAGGAGCTAAATAATAATAGGATCCTGTGTAAGATTCGTGCTAATTTTATCAATAATAATGGGCTACAGTGAATAGATGTTTAGTGAGCCTGTGCGTTTAATGAAGAAAGGCATTTGCGAAAAGCGAGTTAAGAATCTAATAACCATAAAGACAGCTGCCAAGAGATTTGCTAATTAAATCTACTATTCTATCCAAAGACATGCAGTAATTAAATTACTTAGTCCAAACCAAAATGAATATCTATAAAAAAATATAAAAAAATTAATAGAGCATTAATTAAATTGGAATATTATCACTATGTATAGCATAGGTATACAAGTAGTATTGAAATTAAAAATTCTAAAACAAATAATGCCAAATAAATCCATTTGTTCTTTAAGTTTATACCGAAATTCATTTAATTTTAATATCAAAATGGTATTTGCATTTTTTAATATCAATATCTATCGTTTAAATATTCCATATTCCATACGAATTCAAAAAAAAACAGAAATAATTTCATAACAAACGTTTCATTGCAAATCAAACGAATAACAGTTTCATAAAATAGGAAATTTATTCGATTGTGAAAGCAGATTATGGCAGTATTCGTTATATTGGATTTGGAATTGGCCTGAAAAAGTATCATGTCATTAGAATACAAGTATTTTCAGTAAAATATGAATATCAAGCATTTTATCAATAATTTATTTAAAATGGTTAATTTTTTATTAATTGCTTATTAAAACAACCGTTTAATAAATCTATGTACCTACATTTTAAAAATGAGTTTAGTACATGTTATTGCTTAAAATTATAATATTAGATGGCCAACGTTTTATAAAACGTTACCAAATTCAATATTATTAGCCAATTAAAAAATAACGAAGTGTCCAGTACAATGATAAAAAATATTTTATAGGAATCCAAACGAGTCACCAGATGGGGACAGTATTCATGGAGTCAGACAAGAAAGAAGCAGGTTAAAAAGCGTAGAATGGACTGCTTATGAAGGCGTCCATAAGAAATATCTAAATTTAGGTAAGTTAATGCAATTCATACAATATCAGTTTCTGCTATGTTTTAAATGTATTGAATGCAATATTTAGTAGCTAGGTATCTCCTATACGCTTCAATAAAATTATCAATTATCTTATGACATATGTAGATAAATGATATAGATATAACTTCGTCAAGAGACATTATTAAATTCGTAATTTCACATTAACAAGAAATGTTCCATTTAAATGATGGCAGGTATTAGTTCTGTATTATGATAAATGAACCTTCCACATAAATATGTGTAAAAAAGTGTTCATAAATCTAGTTGAATTAGTTGGTTTATTAGCAAATAAAATAATTAAATATTCTATAGGTAGGTACAGATAATATCAAAAATTATTAATGATGCTAATAATTACCTACAGTCGGTGCAAAACAAATATCAATACACGTCACCTATCAATACTACGTCACAAGTAGGTAGTGTTGGCGAACTTTTATAGAGTTTACAAAACCTAAGAATTTTCTAAAATTGTCAAATGGCAAAATGACGAGAACAAATTGAAAATTAGGGGTAGGTACCTGTTTTACGTTTCTAAATGGCGGTCATATTCAGAGGCTCACTATAATTAATCATCAAATTCCATTAAATCTGAAATATATTTAACAGTACGGGTAAAAAATAGTGTACCCTAATTTGACCCTTAAAAGAGTTACATAATGGTGAAATTTCTGAGAAAACTTCTGAACCTGAATTATTTAGAGCACAAATTGTATCATTTCTAACATGTGGAAAAGATAACTACGCAAAAAATTCTTATTTCTTGATTATTCGGCTGAATAGCTTTAATAGTTGAGGCTAGTAAACTAGAAAATAGATGAAGAAATTGAAAATTAAAAGTAACGATCGGATGACAACGGCAACTATGCAACTTGTCAGTTAGTGCCTACCGACCTACTATAAGGAAATAATTATTTTTATACAAATGTTGAATTTTGACAATATACAGGGTGTCCCTGAAAGTGTGGGAAATCTCTCGGATCCATATAGAACATGAAAAAATAAGATGAGAAGTTCCTATAAAAATTTTCCCTACAGGCGCTCCCTGCGAAGATATGAGTCCCAGAAGGGCGCCACTGGAAATATGTTTTCCTTAAATATCTTCTAAAGTACTTGATATAATTAAACAAAAATTTGATATGATGAACACTACTGAGGGCCTCAAAAATTAGTGTCCTTGAAACGTATTTAGCTTTTGTAGTTTACCAGGGCCGGACTAAGGCTAACACCTTAATGCATACATTTTCAACACCCTGTATGATAAAGACTTAAAAACATAAATCTGGAAAGCTTAAACCATAAACTTATAAAAAGATACTTAATAGGTCTTTGCTATCATCCCTTGTTAATATTAAATTAAATTCTGTAGGTGTTAAGCTTAATCTATTTTGTCTATTTATTTTTAAAAGTTGGGCACAATGCTTGGCAAGTATGATGACAGTAGTGACGTGCATTGATATTTGTTTTACACCAACTGTATACCATATTCCATCTCGTTAGGCAATGACGTCATTTTTAGTAATTTCCACGCAGTTCTTTCCCTAATGCCAATGTTATTTCTCCCATTTGACTATGGTAGATGGAAGTCCAAGGAAATGTTGTCATGCATATAGTCTTAAAATTTCGTGCTTTTTAGTTGACAGCTGTCACGCTTCAACTACAATTTGCTTGAATTTCGTTACGAGTTTTTTCAGGCGTTTTTGCGTTGATTTCTTGTTTTCTACGAGCCTTTAGTTTTTCATGCAACTTATGCAACGTTACCGACATTAATCGTGCGTTTCCTGTGATTCGGTCATAGTTTTTCTTTCGGTTTTGTGTTTGTGTTTTCGTGTGGGTATTCTATATGGGTCTATATGGGTCTATCTACATATTAAAACAATAAATATTTCAAATACCAATATCATCTATTTCCTCCCATTTTAATAAATTATTAGGCGATGTTTTATCAACATCAACATCGCGCCATTTTATGTACCGAACTTAAATATTTAAATTCCACCACAAATTACCTTTTTATAAAATGTAGCACAAAATTGAAAATTGCACAGCCTAAAGGGATGCTTTCGAAGCAATCTGTCACTTTCCTAGGCCGCTGCTGGCAAATAGAATTATTTTATAGCCAACGCGGAGTTGCCGCAATAAAATTTCTCACTTTTAAAATAAATTATTGTTTAGATACGTAAATCGAGAAATTCATGTCGAGGTAAAGTGGTTAAAACATTGGCAACTAGAAAATGTGTACTAAAATTTTCAGATGCAGAAATAAAGAACAAAATTAACGGTTCCCTATAATAATTATATTTTAACTTATTAGTAAATTGTTAATTATCGTTTCATTTAAGCCGAATCCTGTTAGATTCTCTCTTTTTGAAGCGATAAGTTTCTTTTTAAGGAAAAAATGTACTTTCTTCTTGCAGTGATACTAAATTAATTCTATTTAACTCTTACGGGCATTTAAATAGTTCTATAGGTATTTGACGAAATTCCTTCGGACAGTTAATTTATATCGAGACTTTATTCCCATTCGATTTGTTCCGTTTAAAGTTCGGATCGCTGCAGAGCAAAGACATTAAATTCGAGTAAAACTTCTTATCTGCGCGATCTATATATTCACTTGAAGTGATCGCTTGCTGGTTCTGGCAGATTTCATTAATTATAATTACTTTCGAATCGTAATTATCACTTTAACTTCACCAAGTTCAGACAAGTTTTATAATTTGGAAGTGAAATATTGCCTATTGATTAAGTTGCATTCTTTATAAGCGAAGTTTGATTAATGATTAATGTTGAATATTGTCATAATGTTTCTTTCTTCTATCTAACTTATTTGAAATCTTAATTAACATTCAATCTTTTTGGTAGATAACTTTGGTGTAGCGTACAAGTTTGCAATTTCACTATAAAGGAAATCAAATTAACAATTATTATTCCAACGAGATCGTTGATTCAATATTATTATATGCGCCGAAAATTTTTAAGCGGATTGCTGCAGATCTTCATAATGAACAATTATCAGTCCGCCAATGGAATTCCCTTCGCTTTGTGCATATAAATCCATTTTAATCCGGTGTGTTCTTGTTTAATCCCGTTCCTAACTCGGCTGTGTGTTCGTCTACTAAATAAGCATCAACCCGATGTAACCTGCCTTTTGACGTCATTTTCCCTTTCACACCGATCTGTGTTTGAATAAGACCTCCGAACCCGGGTAAACGTCCTCGTTTCAAAAGAAGTCAGACCTTGATAGGATTTTCTTTCGGTGCAACGTGTGGAACGAAAGGAATTACTTCTACCTGATTAAAAACGAGAGGCTGATTGTTCTTTTGTACAAATGAGATGTGCTTCCTGCTTTGATTAACTTTTTGGATCATTGGAACGCGAAGCTATCATAAATTAACTACAACTTTTCGCCTTTTTCCTTCTACAGGGAGTTTCTGAAACAAGTGATCAAACTTTGGGAGCAAGTAGACAACCTCAAAATAAGACAAAAACTTATCATTTTATCGAAATGTCAAGTTTTTGAAAGAATTCATTCCTAGATTTTTAAAGATGATAGTAGTTTAATAATTTTGTGTATCAGAATTTTAAAAGTCATTTTTCTTGAAAACGGTTTACTTTGCGGAAAAACAAGTATATATACTTTTTTATATAGAAATCTTCATTTTTTCATATACTTTAAATGCATCACTAAAAAAGGTTAAAATAAAAAAGTTAGGTTAGAATTACCCCACGAACGCCCCATTTTAAACCACTCCTGGACAACTTTTTTTAACCGCATTGAATAGTGCCTTAAGACATTTATTTCATTTCCTTAGTTTGTGTATCAAATTTCATCATTTTATCTTTGCTATTATTGAAATTATTAATAAAAATCCCTCTTAAAGAATCCATCTTTAACATCCTTGTATACCGATATTTGTCATATTTTGTATGAGGTTCTATACTTGCTCCAAAAGTTTGACCACTGAATCCAGAGATACCCTGTATAATAATAATATGAATTTTTATTAAAATCATTAGTACCTATAATAGGTATGTAGCGTGGAATTTATTTCTTTGCTAAAACGAATTCTATGTTATCAAGAAGAATAAATATCAAAATATGAACTTTTATTCAATGTGTGGGTTTTGTGCCGTTTTCAAAGTTATGCGCCCGTGGCAAAAGCCTCTAACCTTTACCACGCCCAAATTCGGTCTCTGACGGTTATCTCTTTGCATATTTTACAATCCTTTTTTATCTGCTTTTTCCTTGTGTGCGCGGCCGGATCGCCGCGATTTTCCCTTCCTTATTCTCAGTCCCGCTCTTACATAATACCCCGTAAAAAGAAATGATTTCGAGCACTTATCATGCAGCTACTATTCGTCGTAATAAAAGTACCTACCATTATTTATTGTTTTATGTATGCGGAATTTATAGCTCTCTGCAGAAGAATTAGAGCGCAGAAAATGTTTTCAATTTTCTGCACCCTACATAAGTTTTCCCTTACACATATACGAAATAATCGACAACGCAGCATTTCCTACAACGTCGACAATAAACCGTTCAAGCGCCGTTAAGAGAAATTAAGTTTTTTTGTGCGGATATTTCCGGCACATTCAATAAATTCTATCAAATCCATCAGTAGTTTTTTATCTGGAATTGAAAAACCTTATCCAGTCAGTTAATTCGGCTGATTCATCGCATCCTTAACAATAGTAATTCTCGGGGCTAATTCCAATTTCCTTCACGGCCGCAAGAGTCGTTTTTATGGTCAGTGTCGTGCGAAGACTCCTTTATTTCCTGAGCGCTTACAAGATGCGCCTTCGATTGCTGCTGCAGTTCTAGCTTCTTATTGCTCTTGTACCGTTACGATCCGCAGTAAATTCTATTTTCTTAACAAGAATTAAAAGTCCTCCGTAAATTTTTGTTTATTTCTTAAAAAAATCAGCTGCTAAATTACAAGGAAAACTGAATTAACTTTCGTACAAAATCACAGCGGTATTTTGTTAAGAGAAATAAAATACAAATACCTATGCAAATTTTAATGTAAAACCTTTGTAACGGTTAACGTTTTTTTATGAAGTATGTACCTGCTCTTTCTTTGAAATCCCGATTAAGTTACGTATGAAGTAACATTTTTAAAAGGAATATGCAAAAAGCTCTGCTCTTTACTACTAAAACGTTTTTCATCGAGACACAAAGCAAACGATGAACAGGTATGAACAAAAACTTAGGTACCTACATGTAGAGGGTACATTTGAAATGTATGCCTCATTTAAAATTTAAAACAAATTGCGCTTTCGCTTTAATTATTTACTTTGAACCTATGCCGAAAAAACAAATTACTCTATGCTAGCATAGGAACGTTTGTTTTTAATTGTATATGAAAACTACACTGAATATGAAACAATGTTTCGTTTGGCTATATTCACAGATAAAAATAGATCGTAAAAACAAAGAATCGAACTTTTCACCAGGAAAATTTTCCGAATCACAACTTCAAAGTGCCCTATAAGTACTCTAAAAGCAAAGTTTTTACCGATAACAACTGTATTTCAATATAACCGACTTCAATTATTTCGCTAGCGGAAAAGCACGAAATCTATCAAAGTTGGCAGAACAAAACGATTTAAAAAAACTGAAAAACCAACAAAAAAAGGAAATAAGAGATACATTAGCCTGAGAGCCTTACCTCGCCCCGAGCGGAATTCGATACGGAGATTGTAATGCACTTAGTTTCCTCTTCTATGGAAATTAAACTCCAAGATTAATTTAAAGTGAAAAGAAATGCCGACCGAGACAGCAATGAAAAGTTAAAAAAAAGAAAGTTTGAAACGAACGATCGTGAAAGATAAGGAGCCTCAATGTTTGCTTAAAAATGTTCATTATTTGAAATGTGATCCGCTTCTATTTGTGTTCTTTTTGATTTAATTAATGGCTTCATGAGAAATTTTATAGAAATTGTTGAAATTCTGCGCTTTAAATTACCCTTAGGTACTTTAAAGGAAAGAGGTACCTACCTAGTTTTTTCAGTGGTCTCATGCAAGATTCATACTTGTAACAATCAAACCGAATAAAAAAATTGAAAATTGGTATAGTAAAATTCAATCAATCCCATAATATTAAATTATAACACCTTGAAATTAAATCATGGAAGCTCTGCATGTTTCCTATCTAAGGAACACCTACAAATTCGACGACTTCAGGGGATTATAAAAATAGTGAAGAATTAATAAATTGCGAAATTAGTTGAGTACATATAAGAAACCTAACATTTCAAAGCTAGAAAGTTAAGTCTTTGTGGAACGAATTATTACTACGAAAATACAATTATCTACAAATAAAAATCCATGGACAGAGGAAAAGAGGAAGAACCAATTTGGATCCAATCAGGAAAACCTTAGAAGTTCAAATATCACGACCTGGGAGTAAAGTAAAGGGAATAAAAAATACCTCATTTAAAATGTATATTAAAACTGGAGCTAACAGTTTATTATGAAGTAGCTAAAATTAAAACGATTGGAGATTTTAATCAAAAATATTGTGAGTGAAAAATACGTGATGATGACAAATGGACCTGAACTGAAATGAAATTAAGCGTACAGAGGCCCTTCACATTTCCGTTTTCAACGTTACATTCACGGATATTAGGAAGGAAAAACAAGTTTAGCGTCTCAGCTTCGAAAACAAACGGGATAAAGTCTAACTAGCTGATCTCCTCCATCCATTTAATGCATTTCGCTATACTAGATTCTCTTTTTTGTTTCTAACAAAACCGAATCTGCGTCGAGTTGGATTTAGAGAACATTCTAGTATACTTTGTTAAAGGGTATCGAGAATCTCTAAGTGTTTGAAATTCCGGCGGGTTTTCTACTTACCAAAAGATGCACTCTTGGATATATTTAATTCAAGCGGGAAGTTCGATCTCGCACATTTTTATAGACTCATTCCATCAATCTGACGCATATGGTAAATTGATTTCTATCTCACCGTTTTATTTCCCATCTACCGATTTATACCTCTCGAATGTTAGGTACTTACTTACTCATTCATTCGAATATCTATATAGATACGTTTAAATTTATGCATACTTTTTCTTTATTTTATCCAATAATAAAACCAATTTTTCTCTTAATTTATAGCAATAATAAAGTACATATTCAATAGTGTAGATACTTATATCTTTTACCAGGATATGAACATATTCATATTCGTCTGCTTTACTAAATGAAATGAAAAATTTCATATTTCCTAGTAGGTAACATTTTACAGACTGCTTAATTATTTTTTAACACACATATACGAACGTAAATACACGTATTAAAATGAAAATGAATACTTTATGCTTCCATTTGCACTAATAACATCCTGAACAAAAGTTTTCCCCCAGCAAAGTCCGTCGTATAAAACATTAATAACCGTTTCTAAAGAAAGCATTATAATTAAGTTCGATCCAATAATTTTACGATAGAGTCAGTAAAATTTTTATAGACACTCCGACACACCATTTTCCGCCCGACCATTCTGCAATTTTGCTTTTAATCAATGTTAAAGGGCTACTCGACTGTGTGAAATTAGGATGGTCGTAAAATAGAAGTGGATAGCAAAATAGAAAGATCCGAACTCCCTTTTGAACTTTGACGAATTAATGCATTTAACTGCCCGTTATAATTTCCACTTTTGCCATTTTAAATAAATTAAACTGGATAGTAATTCTTCTCTAAAAAGTTTTGTTAACGTAGTGCTGATTAATCTACTGAAATTGGCCGAAAAGTTTAGTAAATCTAATTAATTGATAGATATGTTAGGAAAAGTTTATTCGGAATTTGGTGAAAACATTTAGAGCAAAATAAATTTCTACGGGTTGGCAACAAACCACTCTGCTGATAAATTACCAAATATATGTATAGTTTTTACATTATATTAACGAATTCAAAAATAATAGAGTTTTTACACCGAGTTAATAATTATTGCAGATACCAAACCGAAGCTAAAAAACCACTACCGGGCCCACAGGCTTTCGTTTTGGCTCAACCTAGTTCCTGATCTCCACAAACCAGGTGGTGATGATGTACCCATGTCTCACCATGAATTGCCCGATGACGAACCCCCTCCGCCTAAACTACCTACGCTAAATCCGAAGAAACTACCCACAACAGAAATTCCTATCGAATTCAGAACACTGCAGTCTTCCAATCATTCGCTAGCCACTCTTAACCCAACGGACTCGGCAGAAAGAGTTGAAGAATTGGGTAAGTATCAAAAATAAAAAGTGGAAATATTGGTTGTGATTGTAATGAACAATTAGGTGTTTTGTAATTGGTGGGCTCTTTATTTACCCCTTTTACACATTTCTTAATTTTGAATTTTCAAGTGAGTTCGAGACAGCAATTTGTTACCTTAAAAGCGCCGTTAAAAAGTTACAAAGTGACATTCATATATTTAAAAGTTTTTGTTTAACTTGGGAAAAGAAATTTCCAAGATGCTCGCCCTCATTTCAAAGACAAGAACGGTTTGCTCATAAAACTTTAGCTTGATCAATTATACCCATTAAAAATACTTGCTTCTGTCGGTTTAGCAGCGCAAAAAAAGAGATTTTGTTTCCGTTTAAATAGCGACTTAATATTGCCAAATTTTCAGTGAATAAAAGAAGGGAAGGAAATTATTCGAGAATTAAAGAAGGGCCTCGCCCTAAAGGGCGTACCGAAAAGGATATAAATACGACTAACCTGTGGACGAATTTGTGACGAATTTGCCGGATGATAGCAGCAATAATTGAACGATAATAATAAATTGAACAAAAATATTTTAAATGTTGGTGATTATTCAACAAAATTTATACCGAACGTCAAATTACCATATAGATTGCGAGACTTGATTAATTTATTTGATAAACAAACATCGATAATGATGGTATAATCGATACTGCAAAATAAACTAGCTCCTTGGTGATGCGCGCGAAATTTTTTTTGAAAAATATTCTATTTTCATAAATCTTCCTAAAGTCTTCATCACAATCGGTAAAACCTTTATCGCAGGATGCTATCTAGTGTTATCATGAGGCTATTATGAAGGCTATCTAATGAGTCTACAGGGATTTTTGATTATTATACCTAAATTACATTCACGTATTTTACAGGAGGAATAAGTACAACAGGACACCCCGTCGAAGATGGTTTTGCCGCTTATTCCACGGCACTAAGCGTCACTATCGCAATCGGTTGTTCGCTCCTCATCCTCAACGTGTTGATATTCGCCGGTGTCTATTATCAACGCGACAAAACGCGAATGAACGAAAACGGCGGCCATCCGTCAAAAAAACGAAACGAAAACGGACAAATGCCCAACAACATTTGCGGAGATCTAGAGAGCAGCATAATTGGTAATTTTTACATTAATATACATAAAGCGTTAGGTGTAAAGTGCATACTAATGCATTGTAATATTATACAGTATGACAATTTAAAAACTTACAATGGCTATATTTCCCAAACGAAACATGATATCAAAAAATGTCTAAAACCATTTCTAGGATATGAACGGAGAATTGTACTGACACAAGAAATAATTCACTCCCATCAACTCCCTATGCCCTACGTACTCCAACTACAGGGTGTTAATTAATTGAGTACTGATACTTCAGGATCATCAAGATTTGGATGATTTCAATAAGGAAAGTTTATACCAATACATATGTCCTAAACCTCTTAGTTTTTGAGCTACAGGGTGTTACAGTTTTAGAAAAAAAACTATCCTAATTTTCTTATTACTCCAGATATTTTTATTAAATTTCGTCGATGTCACTGGTAATAGTAGAATTTCCTACCTACATCGCCTGCCCAATTTCAACAAAATATCAAAAGCAGTCTGAACTTGGGAAAAATTGTTTTAGTTTTAATTTTTTTAAGCTAAAATGATGTGTCGTACGAAAGTAAGTCATTCGTTCGGACGTCACTGGTAAAAATTTAAAAAAATCTTTTTCCTCTAAAAATGCTCCTTAATAATTAAAAAGTTTGTTTCATAAAAATATCTGGGGTAATAAGAAAATTATGGTAGAAAAGTTTTTTTTTCCAAACCTGTATACCAAACCTTAATACTTAATACCCTGTAGCTCGAAAACTAAGAGGTTTAGGACATATACTATATAAACTATATAAACTTTTCTTCTTAAAATCATTCAATGATTCACATCCTGAAGTATCAACATTCAATTAATTAACACCCAGTATTAAAATTTAAATAGCAACCCCCAACTTGTGATACTTCATTGAAAAGCCAAAAAAGGTCATCCAATGGTATAAATAATAACTGTACAGGGTGAATCAATAATCGCGAAACCTTGTTTTAAAAGCAAAATTTAATGAAGTTTGGAAACACCATCGAACCATTAATAATTGTACATAAATTACAGAACTTAAGGGACGACCAAGGCACCCTAAAGAGCACTTAAAGAGACTCTTTAATCGATTGCTAGCGTTAAAAAAAGGAACGACGGATACGTTCCACTATCATTACGATTCCTCATTACAATCGTTTTTACAGGCGTAAAGAGTGACCCGGCAACGATTTTGGGCCACCACCATTCGCACCATCAGCTGCCGCCGCCGGAATTCGCGGATATGCCCCAGAACAACGCGACGCTGCCCCGGCCACCGCCTCCGCCGAAGCTGTCCAAAGCCAACGTGAACACGTTATCCTCGCATCAAGTGCCGGAAAACCAGCCGTTGCTGTCGACGCACAGCATACAGCTGATAAATACCGGTACGCTAACGAAAAAGAACACTCAAACGAACTCTAAGCATAATATTAAAATGGAGGAATTGAGGGTGTGACGACGCCACGTGCACTGATTTTGCGTGCAATAACTTTTGCTCAAACTAGAAGAAGCATTTACTGCGACATTGACTCGATGGTTAAGAGAAACTCGTTGGGATTTTTAAATAAATAATACGAAAATCTAAAAAAAATAGTTTGTTCATTGAAATTAATGTTCGTTTAATTCCATATTTTGGATATACTATACGCAATAAATGCGTTTTTCTTAATTAATCACGCAATATTGCAGTTAATGCTTACACTAGAACATTTATTATTTGTTTAAAACTAATGTGTTCTTGATGGGATTCAGGGTTTTGTGTTGGAACACTATTATCAGTGAATTATAAGAAACTCGAAAATGACGAAGGAGTTATGTTGCTGATTTTTTTAATTCCACATCCGGTATTAAAATTATACTCTTTCATGAGCATGAGCATGCGAGATTAAGTTTAGATTAAAAAAACCTACTTAATTACCAATTAATTTCTCACTGAATGTTTTTTACAATTATTATCTTACAATTAATTTCTCCTTCTTCGTTATCTTTTTTAAGTGAAAGTTTATTTTATCTTCATAACACTTATAAATAAAAATATATTTTTACCGAAACTTTCAATCCTCAAAGTTTCAAAATCTTAAATTCTAATTAAAACTTAACTCTCGAAATAATCTCATAATAGTTTTTAATCTTTCAATCAAATATGATTTTCTCGCAAACTTTTCTGTTATATTTCCCCGCTTCCTCTTCAGAAGTCACTTTATTTTCAAGTCAGGAATGAACTTTATAGGTTTTTTTGGAGTCAGTCTACTTGTGTTAATCGACTTTTTACAGAACAATTTAACTTGTGTAAAACATTCAACAACTTTCCTAATGCCGCTTACTTTCTTTCCCTGAAATTATCGTTTTTGAATTCGCAACAAAGTTCCTTCTACAAGAACTCGAATCAACTAACCTAGCCTGTACTGTGTATCTTTAGTAAATACATTTGTACTAATAAAGACTAGCTCTTTGTACTAACATTTTATCAGATTTGTTTTCGGTAAATAGGAATTTATAAAAATTTAATATTTTATATGCATTTACCTATTTACTATTGGGTCAAAACGAATATAATTTAGAAATTCTAGTATGTAGGTAATTTTATTAGTTCGAAATATAAATTTACTCTTCAAAATTTTCAAAAAAACTTTAAGTGCTCCACTTTACAATTTAGTAAATAATCAAAACTTTTATTATCTCATGTTTATAGTTATCTTAAATTTCAAATTCCATACATACCTACTTCGACTGATTTATGATAAGCCTAAAAATTCGTGGACCCATGTGGTACATATGTAAGTACGTACATACACAGGTAAAATGTTGTAAATATAGTAAAACGCTACAGCGTTGTGATTTCAAATCAGTCCATTTGTACTTAATACACAGACCAACGTTTTCGTTCCGTTTTAGGAAAGTAAATCACTTTTGCTGTAGGTAATTATTTATGAAAAACATTTGTACAAAATTATAGGAAGCAGTTTTGTATATCATTTTGTCAATCTGCTACTGAATTTTAAAATATTTGTTCAGGTCGCAGCAAATTGGAAGCCCAAGTATAAATATATCAAGTTATAAAATATTTTAACGAGTCAAAAAGATCCTGTACATCCAATTAATTTAGTTCCAATCGCAAATATTTTAAAACCCAGGAGCAATGATAAAATATATCCGAGTTTTGTAAATTACGAGTAAATCTAAAAAACGGAATGATTGAAGTGGATGAATAAAGAGAAAGAATTCTTGAAAATAATCATTAGCGATTGTTTCCATTAACTTCGGAACGATTTTCCCGGCAACAGTTCGAAACCTTTTCGATCTTCCATCTTCCCACTGATTTACCCCTACACTGTGCTCTTAGGCTTAAAAGTCTAATCGAGGGTGGGCTAATAAATAGTAATGATGCGGAATGAGAGCTTCTAGTGCTATTATTTTCTAATCAAATTGGCAAACTAGACATTAATGCCGGCTGAAATTTTAAACGGAGATCAATACCTGCTCCTTTAACTCCTTAAAGGACTCGTCTCGAGTAATTGTGGTTAGTGTTCCAAGAGAGGACTGGGATTTTGAATTTTCAATTTAATTTGCAGGGACTGGTTAATAAATTTTTTTTCGCGTAAGTTTTTGGAAGCTAATCCGAATTATTTTCAAGAATGATTTTTGTTATTTTTTGTAATTGACTATGTTGATGATTGTTGTGTACATACACTAGAAAATGTTAAATAAATTATATGAACTAGTTTGATTTTTACGAATTACATTTCTTTTAGTATCTTTAAATTCGATTCTTAGCAAAGGGTAGAGTTTCCTCGAAGTTTTTCAAATGTCTTTATAAATATTCCATGTTTCGATTGGGAAAGGAGTAAATAACAGTAAGGTACGTATATTTCAAATATTTATTGCTCAAATATGAGTCGACACGTATAGGTATACAAGGTGTCCAGAAAAATAATGCATTTCATCGACATATTAACAAAATTAAAAATTTAATCGTTCATTTATAAAACATAAATAGATAAACAAAGGTAGAAAAATCATTGCTTATAATATTTAATATTTTTTTAATATTGCTAATTTTTTGCTGCAATTTTTCAATATAAAGTTTTGAGAAAATCAATATAACTTGTAATGTCAGGGACACCCTGTATATAGCGCTTCTTAAGATCCAAAAAATTGAGTAAAATAAGGTTGTTCTTCCTACAAAGTAATATGTCAACATAAACTAATATCAAATCATTAAGAGCTCTTGAACACAGAATAATTAATCTTTTCATTACACATACTTTTATCAAAGAAATACTTCGCGAGTACGACCATTTTCTTAGATCTTGAGAACTATACAATAACTTTACAATTGATATAAGTAAAGATTTTTATTGTAATATAAGTTCTAAAGTATGGATCATACATTTGTTCGTTACATTTTGATTTTTCCCTTTATAAGGGTATTTATAAAGTTCAGGTATTCATTCGTAGCTAATGAATATTACAATATTTCCATACCATATCACCTTATAAACGTATCTCGATTTTTTAAAGAATTATAAGATTCAATAAGGACTAGAAACTTAGCCTAATTGTCAATAAAAAATTAATATCCTTTTGGTTATAAAAAATTTACGATTAAATTTGGCACATTGCACAAAATGGTATAACAAGAGAGTAATGGTATAGGTAACACATGTATTAACAAAATATATATTCATAACTTAAGACATAAAAAATAATTTTAGATCTATGAAGTAATAAGAAGTAATTTCACATATGAGTATGAAGGTAAAATTAAAATTTCAAATAAACATTTTTATGAACTTTTTCTTCTATTTCTTCATAAATCCATTATAAACACACAATACGAGTACGAGTACAACATAACATTATTACCTTACTTCTAATCACTAATATATCACTGAAGATTCCAGATTTTTGAGCAAACGAAAATTGGCACATAACTTTTGTAAATAAAATTTAAAACATTTAAATACTTATTTAAAATTTAAAGTCTCTCTTTGATACAAATACGACTTTTTTGGAAATGTTTATGCATTATCATATACGTATGCATTTATGCTAAAATCTGTACTTTATACATTGCTTTTATATAAAAATATACTTACTATAAGATACTAAAGTTTAGTAGAGCATTGATAATTTAGTTATAAATTCCAGAAATTTAGAAGATACTTATTTACCATAAAGTGGCTTACTTTGCTTTTGTAAAAGGTGATTGAATTGCCAATAAGAGCAAAGAAACTCCTCTTTACAGTATTACATTAACAGTGTATAATTAAATAAACAACTCCGTTAAATCGTACAAATATACTCCTTTGATTATGAAACGTTAAATTTACTTACACGAAAAACATTAATTACTTTACTTGATTCACTTATTTAAATAATTTACACTGTTAATTAAGAATATTTTAAAAATTGAGACAGGAGAAGGTTGCATATAAATCACGATATCCGTTAAGTCGTTATTTCTATTGGCACAGTTCAAATATTTTTTATACTAAAATTTCACAACCTTAATCAGAATATGATGATATTAGCAATAATGGTATCCCGTTGAAATAGCGCAAGACAAAACAGCCCAAAGACAAAATAGCTTAAGAGAAAAAACATATGTATCATAGTATAACCATTATCACAAATCAAGAATTTGTCGAGCTATTTTTAGACCAATCAGTCGTTATTTTATCAGCCATCATGATTAAACTTAAACGGATTAAAATTGCATTAAATAAAATGAAATAAGAAATATCAAAGAAAGCAATGATGGCAGTATACAAAACCATCTACAGACCGATAGATTCTATTCTAACATAATATGGAAAGTTATTTAATTTATTTCAATATTTTTTGGAAAAATATTTGAATGTATAATCTATGATATCTCTTTTAATAACGCAGCTGGTTTATTATTATTATATGCCTCTGGAAATCTAATAAATAATGCACGCTTTTAATTTTATCTGAACTATTTAGTCTCGGCATATTTTATCTTTGGGCTATTTTGTCGGGGCTGTTATGTCTGAGCTGGCTATTATGTGTTTGGACTATTTTGTCGGGGTTTTTTGTCTCTGGCTATTTTGTGTTTGGATTATTTTATCTTGGGCTATTTTGTTTCAGGTTATTTGGTGTTTGGGTTGTTTTGTCTTTGGGCTATTTTGTCTCATGCTACTTTGTGTTTGAACTATTTTGTCTTGGGCGATTTTGTCTCTGGGCTATTTTGTCTGGGCTGTTTTGTCTTAGGCTATTTGGTGTTCGGGTATTTTGACGGGTCACGAGCAACAGTCCTAATTAGACAAAATCGTTTAAACCATTTTTTTTTCGATTCCATTCGAAACGTGTAGTTTTCACAATAAATCGCGTTTTCTAATTTTATAGTTGAACATTTACATCACCGTTCAAAACATCTTAAATTAATAATGGTTTTAAATATACAAACTCACACCAACAGAAATTCACTTGTTTTTTATAATAGGAAGAAACGTTAGGAACTGAATTATCTACTAATATAAAAAATACTCTTAAATTTGGCACATGCAATTTGTAGGGCTTACGCGGTATTCATAATGGAAGTCGTTCTTCTACAGTACCCTCTTCTCGAGACAGTCGTCCCTTGAGCTTCGCATTCCTTTTTTACCCTGTTTATGATATCCGCGACCAGTTTTTCCTCTTTCACTCGCTGTTCCTCCCAATTTACTTTCTCCGTTTTATCGGGTTTCCGCGCCACCGGTTCCGTACAGGTCTCCACGATTTCCTCCCTCACCGCGAGCTTAATGGCTTTGCTGGAGCCCGAATGCCTGGAAGCGATATGACCAGTGTAACCCTTCCTACTTTTGAAAAATACGTTGCAATGCCGACACTTGTACAAAGAAGCGGGTCTCAGTAATTTTTCCGAATTTTTCACGTGAACTTTGTACTTGTGCCGGTACCAGTGAGTCCTCGACGCGAGAACCTCGCCGCATCGCTTGCATATAACGGTACCGTCCGATTGTACTAGATATTCTAATAAATCAGTTTTCTTTATCACATAGTTTTCACCGTCGTCCGATGAATCGGGAGTGGCGATCTTATCGTCGGTGAGAAAATGCACTCCTTGAGATGATTCCGGCTCGTCGGAGGGATCGAATTTTTCTTCGATTTCTATCGATTCGTGAAGCATATTTCTAGCGGATTCGGTCGAAATTATTACGGATTCTTGTTTAATCGGGGGGATCAATTCCATGGTTATTGATGGAAGATTTGTATGATTTTGGTTATTTTCCTGATAATCTGCAAACAATTAGATCTAATTAATGCCAATTCATAAAAAATGGGAATCAATCAGTAATATACAGGGTGACCCGTATAAGAAACGACCCAGAGCAGAAGCCTGTAGGGGAGACCAATGTTCTTTAACCCAACTTAACTTGATACAAAATTACATTCATGAGAAGTCGTAGATCTTCAAAGTGATTACAAATTTAAAATAATCTCAGTAATAGTCAAACTTGAAACAACTAAATTTGTTATACGTCATGAATGTACCAAGAGCATTAATCGTTAGTGAAGAGAGATCAATTGATGCATTTTAAAAGTTTCATCAGTGATGATACTCCCTTATAATGTTACAGGATCTTTTTTACCTGATGTAAGATTTAAATAATGATAGTTCATTTCATAAGTAATTTTATTTTATAACGTTTTTATTATTTTTGTTTATTAAAATTCTTTGTAGTTTTGATGAAAAAGGCCAAAAAATTAGAGCATGTACACTATCAATGTAATTTAAAATCCTCGATAATTCATGCCCTGCTCTGTGTCGGTTGTTAAGCGGTATAAAAATATACTGTATAAAAATATTTATTAAGATTATTAAAGGACCGATTATTTTTTACTTTAGTACTACATTTTAGTAGTACCAACAAAATAAACACAACAAAAAAAATAATGATTTTGGATTAATATAATTTATTAGAGGTAGATTTATTAATAAAGAAAAGTACAATAATCAAACAGTTACTAATGATGTGAATAATTTGAGAAATAATAATTTACATCACTATACAGTATGTCTGCACCAGCGTTACTAAAAATAAAATAACTAAGATAAAATATAAAAACAAATATATGAAGAAAATTGAATATTAAAGCATAAAGGAAAAGTAATACCAAAAAAAAATAACGAAAAATCCGATTTGTGATCACGAAAAAGATATAATAAGCTACATAAAGCCTACGAAATGATTAACAAATTAACAAAAATTTATGAGATACAAAAATAATACCAAGCAAATTCAAAATTTGCCGAATTAAATGAATTATTCTGAACTAATACTAGTAACGTTAGTAAATAAATTTCTATATTAATTGCACTTAGATTTATCTATTCTTACTAATAAAGATTGCAACTATATCTTCAAAGAAATTACATTCTGCACAGTTACAATCTTATATGGAAGAACGTCGATGAAAACTGGCCTCAGCCTAACAAAAGTTAAACAAAAAAAAAATAAAATAAAACAAAACTATCACATAGTGATTCTGACCTATTGCGCAATTTGTTTTAAATAGATATTACATATCTAAGTTTGTACAAAAATTGTTAAAGGCACTTTAGTTCGCCTCAGTATAAAATATAACAAGTTATTATACTAAAACAACATTCATGTTAAAAGTACTGCCTTAAACAGATATTTATTGTGATAATTGTAAATTTTATTGACAATTAAAATCAAAAAGTAATTACATAATTTCAAGCATTGAAAGATAAATCAAAACTTTTAGTGGCATTTCGGTAGAATTAAATGGAACTTAATTGCATTTATTGCATATTTTGTCTAACGGTTATAAAACATAAAAAAAGGGATTTGTGCTCGAATTGATCATATGTGAATGAATTGTTTTCAATGATTTTAAAATTAGAAGTTTAGCATACATAATTATTTCCACAAGTGTATTTAAGTTTGAAAAAAATATTCAAAATAATTTGCAATTTTGCAATCATTAAAAATTTCATGAAAACACTACAAAAAATTATTACATCCAAATTTTTATTGCTATTCAGGCTAATATTGTTGATTTTACTTAAAATATTTTCATTCAAACTTAATTATTAGAAAGCAAACTAATAAATATTCGAGCATTAGTGGACCAAGACTGTTGTTTTAGCATAAACATAAAAATATAAAAATAATAGATATGTCAAACTGTTTTAAAAGAAAATTATTTAACAGATTGAAGCTTACAGCATTAAATAAATAGATTCACAATGGCATTGTAAATATTAATATTATTACTATTATACTATTATTGTTTCTCATTGTCCCAACACCTAAACTAAACATTTAATAAAATCAACTAAATTATACATTTATATAATATGTATATAATTGTGTGCGCCTGCGGCAAATTCATGTAAATAGATAAAAATATATTGTCTACTCTGTGCAGTCAATATTTTTAAAACTATTCTAATATAAACACGATATTATTGATCAACAATTTGAAAATATAGACAATGATTACAAGTAGCAGGCTAAGAGTAGACTAAAGTAGGCAAATAGGTTATAAAGTACCAAAAAAAACATCAATTTTTGTATAACAAATTGATATAAAATGAAAAATGAACAAATATTTTTTTTTAACAAAATGATTTTTAAACTGAACTGTCCACCTTAAATTAGTCACCTCTTAGTCAAATAACTTACAATTGTAATTCATTTGCAAAACCCCTAAAAAGACTATACAACTCGAAAATATTATAAACTTTTTTAACAAAAAGTAGTACGTGTAATAGAATATATTGAGGGATTAGTCACTGCTAAGCAGTTGAATAACTAATTAGAAGACCTTTCAGGTTATTTTTAACCATAAGAGGTTAATCACATATTTAAAAAATCTTGTACTTTATAAAAATTATAATAAAAAATTGCTTTATCATTCATAAAGAAGCACCAAGTACGAAATCAATTCTTCTTTAATTTACATTGTTGAAAAGAACCCCATGGGAGGGAAGACGACATCTTTTGGCATAAAACAATCATGAACGGTTTTCATGTGATTCTTCATTTTATCCGGTCGAGAGAACTCCTTCTGGCATACAGGACAAGGGAAAACTTTTCTTTGGTGACCTTCGTGATACAAAAATGCGTGACGTTGAAAACTGTATTTGTTCTTGAACGTTTTTTGAACGTCCACTTTCGCACACTCCGTGCATTGATACACTCCTTCGTTGATGGACGCGTAACGGAATAAATTCAAACCTCGCACGGACATTTCCGTCAGAGCTTCAGCGGGATCTTGGCTTTGAGAGGTCGCCCTGCGTCTCACCCTTCGCTTTACGGGCTGTCTTCCCGAAGGCGCGCTCATCGCGGCTGCATTCGTTATATTTGGCGGTAAATTCGACATATTTGGTAAAGCGCTAGTGGAAGGTGTCATGTTGTTGTTATTGTTGTTGTTGTTCACCACGTTGTACGGAGTGCCGCTTCTAGACGACGCAGGCGTTGTTGACAGCTGACTCGATTGCTCAGAACCGGCATCGTTTATTTCCGGTTTTATTATCGTCGTAAGTTTTTGGCTCAGCAAATCTAGAAACAAAAAAATATTTAGTAATGTGAAAACAATCGTTTAATTTGTCAATGTTTATGAATGGCTTATAGACTACAAAACGTAAAATTCGAAAAAAAACAAGACTGAATCTAAAATTGGTTGCAGGTGTAGCATAAACCACTTCGAATACCACTACTACAACAAAAACAAATCTTCAAGCTTATATTCAGAAAACTTCTTCACAAATACAGTAATACTGAACTAGTCTCTCAGTTCCTCTGACAGCTTTCATTCAATATCAGCTAGCAATCATTTATTATCTATATTAGCTATAATTTGAAAAAATTTCATACAAGCTTTTAATGCTGTACTACAACATTCAACATTCATATTGAAGAATAAAAATACCCTAACGTTCTCATAAACATTGACTTGTAACTACGACATGCGTATAAAATTAAATACTTAAAAATAAAAGATAAATAAAAAAATAAATAGCAAACTGAACTTTTATTTGCAGTAACTAGAAATATATCTACACTCTTATAACCCTTTCGACGAAAATACAAGGTAACCAAATAAGTGCAAATAAATTATCTACCATCTAAAAACATTCAAATATAAATAAATTGCAAAATAATAAAAAAAAAACAATGAAAATTGCATCAATTACCTTAAGAATACTTCTTCAGTGCGGCATGAAAAAAAATATTTTGTTCGATTTTTATTTAAGGCAAGAATATTTTAAAACTATAAAACAGGAATTTATTATCAGTTCTTTCATAAGAATATAACTCATAACTTAAAACTAACGAGTAATGATTAAACTAATTTATTGAAAATACATAGGTGTATACTAAACATTTCAAACATTCGCAATAATAGCAACGAACTTTATATAAATCTGTAAATTTCATAAATAACAATGAGTACAAAATTTTATTGCCACGAAACCGGATTGCAAGTTGTAACTTCTTTAGCTCTAAACTCGATTTTAGTTAAAACTTGCAATCTAATATATGTATTAATTAAATCATTTTAAGTTGAATTTGCACAAAAATATGTTTTATGCTAAAAAGATATATTTATTTTATAAACTTTCGATATATAAAATAGTCTAAAAATAACTACCTTTACAAAAAGTAGTACACTTAACAAAATATATTTGGATTCAATATAATATAAAGTACAGCACTCTTTTCGAGTTTCACATTTGGTACAAAAGTATAATTTGTAACTTTACTGGCTGGTATATTCATTTTCTTTGGCGATATGAAGAATTTCAATAGATAAATAAAATTCATCTGAAAACGCTTTGCAGGTCGTAGTTACCAAAGGTCATAGGTACACAAACTAAAAATTATAAGGTTCATACAAATACATTTGTTCGTTTTGTTCTTGCTATCTCCTAGATGTAAATGCAACAATTACTTTTAAATATTTATCATTTTAATGACAAATATGTGTGCAATGTCATTAAATTTCTATTTGCCATTTGTTATGACTATATTCTCCAACAAAATATGTAACAGTCAAAAGTTGAAAGTATACTATATACAGGGTGTCCCGTATAAGAACCGACACTCCAGGGTTTTGTAAAGAAGCCTAAAAAATGTTGTATAACCTAACTTTAACTTAATACAGCCAACTTTTGCTAGTGTAAATGACTTGATAGACGACAAAAAATTTTAAAAAACAAAAAGAATTAAAGTTTTAAAATGAAATCACCTGTGAAATGATCTATTTCATTCACCAGGTAAAAAAAATTAGTAACATCTTTTGGGTCATCCCTGATGAACCCTTTAAAATTCATCAATGAATCTCTTATCAAGAATGCAACTTTGTATTAAGTTAAGTTGGGTTTAACAACACCCTGTACATGAATATATTTATTATTATTGTCTAGCGGGTTTATAATTACCCTTGTAGACATAAAAATAATTTGTCACGTACGTGTTGAACATAAATTAACAATTGATGAGTGTATATGAAAATATGCAGAACAATCAAGTGCAGCAATCAAGAGCACGTCCAATCGAAAAATATCTAAAAGCAGCTTTAAAAAATGTCACAAAAATACGCCATTTAATAAACTGTAAAAACTAAGAGACCTTTGAGTTATTAACTATACAAGCGTTTCAAATATTTATAACTTACTTATTCAGTCTTTAAAAATTACATTAATTTTTGTCAGCCTCTATACAATTACATAGTAAATTTTGATTTAATGCTAGATATACCACCCAGAAAAGCAGCTTCGCTGATCCATGTTTGGCATCCATGTTCTGTAGTTATTTTTTACACTAGGCTAGTAACACCCCAAATTATTATTTTGTGGGTATCAAATTTAATAATAAAAATATATCAATATTTGTAAAACCCAGTTTCAACAAAATAATATGAGTATTAATCACTACTAATCTAGTACAAAATTTTCTATTCCCACTCTAAATATTACAATAAAAACGATTGCACAGTACTGTTTCGTTTAATGCCAAAATATGTGGATCAGTGAAGCATTTGACCCTTACTTACTATCAAGGTATTTATTACTATAAGGCACCGAAACCTGTTTATGTATAATTTTCAAATGAGCCACCATATTGTCTTTCCTCGTGAATTCTTTTCTGCAAACGGGACAAGAAAACATCTTAACGTCCAATTTATGGGACGTCATGTAATGCCTACAGAAATTGCTTATGTGCGTGTACATCCTATCACAAACGGTACACCTGTAAAGGTTGTCCTTTTCCCTCACGCAGAAGTCCCTCGCCGATTTTTCGTGTTCCTTTGCTCTCTTCGACGAACTCAAATACATTGATTTGTCATAGTAAGATTGATCGTCTAAGACAATGTCGTATTGAGCCAAATCGTCCAAATCGATAAGGGGCTTCTTTTCTTTCTTTGGGCTGCTATTTTTAACGTTATTATTTACGGAGGATTTCGTATTTAAATAATCGGTATTGTCGTAATTGGTGTCTATTTGAAATCCGTTTTCGTTGTCTTCCAATTCGATATCCGAACAAGATGTGTCTGGAAAAGTCGCCTCGATGTCTTCTTGCGAAACACTGACACCGACACTAGCATTACTGTCTTTGCAGGACGATTCTTTTTCTTCTGAAACAAAAATCAACTCAAGGTAATATCAGTGGGTATTTCCATAAATATATAAACAGGATATTAATGAGTAAATTAAAAAAAACAACGTCTATCCTGGTTATACGCAAAGAAAAATACATAATGAATTAATAAAAACCGATACGAATAAATTCGTAGAATTAAAATAAACCGCCACCAGAAAATATAAATAAATGTTGCAAAGGGAAAAGCTACGGGGAATAAGCCGCTAAATTTAAACATCGATTACTAAATTACTGGCATTGCAAAATTCGAATTAATGATAAAATGGCTCATTCCGTTAACTCTTCCCTTATCAATAAAAATGTTGGCAACTCACCTCTAATATGATGCACAAAACAAAAAAAATCACTGACACCACTATAGCTTTTCCCTTCACTCACATTTATGATTTTATCAAAAATTATCTGAAAACTTAAAGGCATTATCGATTTTTTTTTTTCATATTTACGCCATTTTACAGAAACTGATAGTGGTTTTTATGATGCATGGGATAATTCTTTCGATAAGTAAACTCATTTACGTATTACATACAGATTTAAAGCGAATTAATAAACCACATAAGAAAAATATCCTACTGAATTCTAGATCAAAATCAGTTTAACGAGCCTTTATCGCATGTATGGGGAATTCAATGATATTCAAAGAACCTTATTATTGTGCAAATTCCATTATAACCAATTCTAATTATAAATAGTGATTAAAAATACCACTACCTTAAAAAATTCCTAAAATATTTCTTTTATCGAATTTTATACAATTTTTTTATCATTCTAATCAAATAATGTAAACAAATAACTTACCAGCAGGGTGAAAGTCATCAGAAATTTTGTTATTATACGCCGATTGATCATTCGAAGATCCAGCTACTGGCTCGGGCTCTTCTTTAATAATTTTGGTTTCGTCAATGTCCACTTCGTTTTTAACGCTAGTATCAGAATTATTGCCTGTAAAATTGTCCATTCCCATTTTTACTTCTAACATCTCCGGGCTACCCTGAACGATATCCTTATCGAAATCATCAGGACCGTTGGAGCATCCCGACAGTTTTCGAGGCCTTCCCCTTTTCCGTTTCGGTTGCATCAAAGCGTTACTCAACATGTTCAGATTATTGCCGACCCTCTTCCCTTGCTGGAGCCTTTGCAAATCCGGTAAATTTTGTAAATTCTGTTGTGTAAGCGAGGAAGCTATATTATCACATCTTTCTTCATTTACTTCCGTTAGACCTTTTATCCTCAAGCTTTCGGCCACTCTCAGAAAGGCTGTCAGCCTGTCTTGATCTACGCTAACTTCTCCCCTGTACATGAAATCCAATAAACATCTCATGTCTGCGTAAGGTACATCCTTTAATATCACAATTGGGTGCTTGTCCGGATGATTCATGAACAATGCTTGGAAGTATGGACTGCAAGCCGATAACACCATCTTGTGTGCTTTAAGTAACTGTCCCTCGACAGCTAGAGTTACATCGACGAAACTTTCATCTTGAAGTAACTGATCGAATACTGATAATAAATTGGACTGGTGATTGTTCCACCTGAGACAAAAACGTTGGAAAGACATGGCTGGAGCTGTGGATGCTAGACCAGGTTTCTGATTCGGATTTTGTTGCGGATATCGATTGGGTTGAGTTGACATTGGCAGCACAACGGGGATATATTACTTTTGGAACACACTGAAATAAAAAAAATACGAGTTAATAAATTATTCGCGGAATTGTAATCTAATTACAGTAGGTACGTGTTATTAATTATAAAAAAAAACAAATGCAAATATAAAAATACATGAGGGGAAGATATGAATCATATATTGGTATTTTTAAAGTCAAAGTAGATATATAAAATTGACAAACAGTATGAAGTCAAATAATATGATTCCCTTAGAGACTAAAGTCCTCAAATAGCAATATATGGAAATAAGCGATGCTCAACACTGCGAATTTCTGTGAAAAATAATAGAACTCTGTACATTTTGTTAGCATTAATGCACAGTGTGGAGTCAGGATATAAGCGTTGTTATAATTAAATTTAATTTATGGATTTTAAACTAGTACGCCATCAAATTTAATAAAGAAAATTAAAGCTCAAAGCACCGTGAAAACATTCATTTCATGTAACTCTCAACAATTTTATTGAAATGGAGTTAAAATTAGCTTCAACTCGAATAAAAAACAAGGTACAAATTTCCTATGAATTCATAGGACCTATTGGGAATTGAAGAATTAACTTAAAAAACTGGTAAAAAACTAAAATAAAAAGATTGTGGAATAGGAGTTACTGATTTTATCGAGCGACCATAGGATGCAAATTCGAATAATTTTTTATGATGATTATTGGCAAGAAAATTTGTTATAAAAACCTATGCGTTATCGATGATTCAGTCATAAAGAATATTATTGCACTCCTATCATTCTACGTGACTATTATTGCTGGAAAAAAATGTATACCTACTCAACCAGATATGCAAAAACGGGTTGAAGACCAAAACTAGTAAATACCAAACAGAAATTCAAAAATTACATAAAGTGAACAAAACCTTTTATAGATTAATAAACGTTTAGTGCAAGATTTTATACACATGAAAAAAAAATTTAAATCTTCTAAAAAACCGACAATCTGCATCAGGCATGTTTGTTCGCTGCAACATGAAACAAGCTTATTTTAAAACAATGTTTTTGAGAAAAATAATTAAACAGTTGTGACACTAGCTTGTACAGCTTGTTTACAGACTCGCTGTTTTTATATTCAATAATATATTATACCGGGCTGTTTGTGCTCCGTATCTCAATATTGTACGTGATTTTCCATTTATGATTTCTCTCCATCATTTATAAATTTAATAGGTATTTAAAAAAATGAATATCCACATCTTCTAGAGAAAAATCTATGGAAATGTCGAATTTGAACATTGCCATAGAACTAACACTAGACTATGTCTGTGTCTTTGATTAAATAAAGCCAGGTTTTTCCAATTTTCTTTACAATTTTATTGTATTGCACAAAATATTCATTAGAAATTTATTCCAACATCTGTTTGAATAAAAAAATCGCCAAAAATTAATAAAAGTAAGATTTTAAAACAGAATGTAGAGGGAAGGATGTAGAGTGTAGAGGGTTGTGTGTACATGGTTGAGTGTAGAGTGTTAAGCGTATATGGTAGAGTGTAGAGAATACAGGCTACATAGTACAGGCTACAGGGTACAGGGTAGAGTGTATAGGGTAGGGTGTATAGGGTAGAGTCTAGAGTGCGGAGGGTAGAAGGTAGAGAGTAGAGTGTAGGATTAGAATGCATAGTGTAGGATTAAAGTGTATAGAGGGTAGGAAGTTATTATTTAAAAACAGTAAGGAAAGTGAAAATTGTTATTACTTCAAAAATTGTTATTACTTCAAAAATTGTATGTAGAGAACACTAAGTGTAAATTGAATCAAAAAAAATGTTATTATTTTTGAAAATACACTCGACACATTAAAATAAATGTTCATAATTGTCCTAGTTAATTGAGTGGTTTTTATATACACTGGCTCGTTTCATAATTTAATTTCGACTTTAAACGCCTTGTTTAACTTTGTTTATCCATAGCAACCAATGTAAAATTAACCATCGTTAAATTATAGCTAGAAGAAGTTGGCGAAAGCGAAGCGATGTATTTAATTTTTAAAAAGATTATTATAAACAAAATATCGTTTACAATGCGCTTAGAAAACGAATTCAAAAAACCCCGCGAAGAAGCGAAACGTCAAAAGGCCGGATTGTGGACGTGATTCACACAGGTGTCCACCAGATAGAGATGCGGAATCGTTCTTGAACTCGTATTACATCACAATATCCCCTCCCGCAAAGAAACCAAAGAAGCATCCTCTACTTTACCGTGTGCAACATAAACACCAGTCCGTTTCGTTTCCATTTAAATCGATTAATTAACCGAACTGTACACCGAAATCGACGTTTTTCCAATCCGAATAACCTCCACGAACGAAACTGGAACAGCCCTACGCCATATTTAAATATCGCCAGCGCTCGTTTCGTAGCGATGTAAAGCAACACCCCGCCTATATTCCACGACCGTTCCGAACGAGTTTACGCAACCCTTTCGACCGAAATAATCTAAATTTAAATGTGCATCACAAAATTCGAAACGAACAGGCGAGTGTAAATGGGAAAATGTACGTGATGGTTTTCGGTATTTTCGCTGCGGGTAATGTCATGAGGGTTCGCCTATCGATTCGAGGAAATATATTGATTCAGGGTAAAACGCGGTCGACCTAATAAAACAATACACACCTAACGAAACGAACGGAATCGACCGTAATTGTTTATTAAACGACGAATAGCGCAAAAATACGTGTAGTTAATTACCTTTCAAACAGTGCCACCATATAAAACGAAACGGGTATAATCCCCGATTAGGATAACTAAAACACCACAACACATCAAGTCGCCATGTCAGCAAATAATAAGTCTGTCTCTGTTTCTCTGTTGGTGTTAGGTTCGGAAATTATCGGGGTAGCTCGGGGTACAAAGAACCGCGAAGTCTTTGAATGTTTTTAGCGCACAATCGCGTTTTTCCCTTTTAAGACCCGCGGATATAATAAAATGCACCGTTATACTTACCTTCCTGTACATAATTCTATTTCACACGCTTTGTGGTTAGATTAAATTATAGTTTCTATGGAGAAAACGGATTTATCGACTCGTAAAATTCGTCTACTCGACTATATTATTGTATGTGGCCGGAGAAGTTAAAAAATAAATAAAACCGCGCCGTATACGAATTTAAAATAAATTATTTATTGAATATTAAACGTTGTTGTGTATGTGTGTGTTTTTTTGTTTCGTATATATTTAACACGTAATGGATTTGAGCTAGAGATATTTTCAATTCTAATCTAGGTGGCTTATGTCATGCGCCGTGGATGAGGGTGTGCGCAAAACGCTTATATTTCTAAAACACTTACGCAATAATATTGTCCTTGTAACAAACTAACTAGCCTGACGTCTCACGAATTGTTTACTTGCAGCACATGTAAATACACCCCACTAATGCTGTCAGGACACGACGACCATGGCCCGTCGGATGCATTTAGGGAATAGATAAAAAAAAAACAAATTCGTGTGCGGGTGAAACAAGAACTATCAGTGGTGCACACCCTTCTGCCAACTAAATGGAGCTCGGCGAGCCCCGCGCAACTATGGCTGAGAATACCACCACCACACAGTCGCAGTGACCTTGGGAGTTGTGGATGCCCAAACGTTCAGATGTTTATTGGGTGCGGTGGTCGTTTAGACGTGATTCGAGAACATCTGGTCGACTAGATTTTGACTCTTACATTGAGGGCTCGAACGGTGGCCCAAATTCACCGTGTTGGGTGTGTTGCCTACGGTCGAGCCGCAATAATCGACTGGGTGATTGCACTTAAACAGGGATACACGTGCACGCCGTATCGTGGGGTGGTTGACCCCCCAGAAAAAGAGGACGACTTTTTGACTCTTCGTAACACTTTTGAAAGAATGCTGCCCGTATACGTGTATCCGATACGCGGTCTTTTATAGGGGTGGGTGGAATTCTGATAAGATATTTTTCCAATCAAATGAAACTACTCCTAATGACTTCGAACCTATACACTTACTTATTTACAATTATTTAATTTCAATAAAAAATATCGAAAAAGTCCTTAATATTTTAAAATTATTCCCATTATTTTACTAAATAAAAACTATAAAAAATTAACCAAGGAACATAAATTTTAGTTAAAAAAAAATATTGTGATACCAGTTGGGATCTTAAAAAAATACAATAACAGTCTAATCAGTTTATCGCATATTTTTATACTAAAAACAAATATTTTTGTTCAACAGGTCCGTCTTCATTTTGAATTTTGTTTAAAAAAATAATATATAAAATATGCTCAAAGATGATGTACTACACCAATTAATAAAAATATAAAAATAAATATGATGAATATACAAAAATTTCACCAATGTCATAGTTTAAAAAAAAAGTTATATGGAACAAAATATTAATTTTCATTTATATAAATAAATTGATTGACATTGATCTTAATCGATGAATGATCTGTAAAACATCTATTTACTACTAGATATGCCAAAATTGGATTGCTTTTAGTTAACTACGAATTCTATTTTTACTTTTAAAGATTTTTAATTAAAATTTTTCGATCAGCTTAGAAAAGGCAAGATCTTTATGATTTAGAATCATTAAGCTTTATCTATTTTCCTTCATTGCACATATGTATTGCTGATTTTGCGCATATCTTTCACTCTTCATATTTAGATATTGTTCTGACTAATCACATTACATGTTTGATTTAATCTTAGTAACACTATCGCCACTGTATGAGTTGTCGACCTCCATATTTTATAATCTCAAACTCTATAGTACTTACCTATTCTCTGTAAAAAAATAAATAGGTAATATCTAGGTATTCATATTATTTTCACTAATTAGTTTATTCGCCGAGTCACTAATTTATTAATATATAAATCAGTGAAATGGATAAACAAAAAGGTTTCAAAAAACAGTTATGCGTTAAACAAAAATTTCTATTTTTTTTCTAGTGGGCAGATCCAAGAAATTTTCCATGCAACTATAATCTTAATAAGGAGCAAATTATTTATACATTAAATGGGCCATTCTTTCCTACCACGTCATCGTTTCATTATTTCTCTAAAATCGTTTAAAAATGATTTCCACCCTTAACGACTTACTAATTACACGTCGTTACAAATTTACATTAGAACGTCTGTATAAACAAAATAACTTAAATGGATTTAGGATGGAATCATTATCATTGACAAAATAATATAAAAATTTGCTTAATTAGCATATTTGACTGCAGGCCTGGAAAATACATAAGGAACAGTAGCGAAACTAACACGTTGCGGGTATTCCCAGAATACCCAGAATTTTTTAAATCAAATGTGCATGTGTAGGCCATTGTAGAATATTTCTACTACTATTAGACCTATAATATAATTTATATTTAGACACGATGAAACGTTTAGAATATCAATCACTCATAACAAAATACCTTACATCCTGCAGTCTACATTTTTTTCCGATATTCTTAATGAACGGCCAATTTAGGTGCAGAAGAAACGGGATTTTTTTAAGAAGATTCGTTTAAATTTACTTACCCAGACCCAAAGCAAGAGTGCGAGTATACCATTTCGCATAATATAGCTAGCAATTAAGTACAGGAAGAAATTGAAAACCAAACCTGTTTGGCTGTTGCATCCTTCTGAAGTAGGTAATTAAACTGATTTCTGAGGGGACACCGCCGATGGGCCGTTCACAGGATGTGGTATGTTAATCAATCAGGTAATTTCGATTTCTTAATTGACAAGAAAAGTGTTTTTTTATATTATTTACATATACATACATAGATTTATTAATGATTTCTTTATTCTAGTTAGAGAGTAAGTACGAAATTAACCCACAAAAGTAATTGATAGAAGATTTTTTTAAGGCCTAACGAGGACATTTTTTTCGATAAAGGGTAATATTCATTCTCATGTTGAGTTTAAAACAAAAAATTATACTGCTGATCGTCATATGAAAAACTAAATAACTTATATCTCAATTGGATTGGCATGGACGCGCATGAATTAGAACAGCTGACCTTTATACAGAAACACAACTCAATTAAAGTTTGGTATACGTCTTGTAGCATAATTTATTTCTCTTCAAGGGTCACCTATAATTTATTATAGATGTATTTTAAGCACCTAATATTAAAAAAATGTATACAAATTACTACAACTTTAGTACACAAATTATTAGACACCAGCAATTAAAAAGAGTTCATATAATTTTCAAGTTAGAAGCGATAAGTTTCGATGTCTAATATACCATCATCAGACCTCCTTTGCAGTAAATTTAGTAAAAATTCTCATTTTCTCTTTTAAAAAATGTAGGTACAATGATGTTAGGATAGACCATATAATTTTTTTATGATGAAGTGAAACGCATGAAATAATCATTTATTCCATGTACTGTTTGATTTCTAATGCGATACAAACGAACGTGTTTAATATTAAATATAAATTTGAGTGAATTTTCTTTCTAGTATTATCACAAAATAGTGTGATCTGCAGAGTTATTGACCACAGTAGAAGAAAAAAAAGAAACTATACTCACAAAACCAATTACGTTGTTATAGTTGAGTAAGTTTTGTTACAGTTCAAGAAACGACGTTGCTATTCGATTAAAAGTAGATTGGACGTTAAAGCGCTTTTACTTGATTTTTTTATTCTAATTTAAATTTTCCAATCAACGTTTCGAGATTTTCATGCAAATATTACCAATTAGACGTATTTAACCACTAGGTATACTAAGAATTTTTCTCCTTGCAATTTATCTTCATTCCAAAGAAATACAAAATGTTGGAATATTTTTATTTTTACAGAAAGGTAAGGTTAAAATAAAATTGAACAAGTTTTTGAGTGTATAATAACCCTGTGCTGTAATGTTTGAGTTTCTCTCGGTCATCGGCCTTTTTACTTGTTGCATAGAGTTTTGGGCTTGACTAAACGACTTAGGATTTTCTAGCTAAGCCTATGACACGTGCATAATATCGAATATCTTACAAAATTATAACGCCCTCATGCAACAAATTATACAATTTATTTTATTATGAGTGAATTTTTTATATTTGAATCAGCTAGATCAATACGAATGCATCGTTTAAAATCAAAATATAGAGTAAATCGTTCATAAAAACAATTAATATAGGTAAATTTTATTAAATTCAAGAATCATCTCATTTGTTGTTACAACACAAAAAATTTTAGATATTTGAAAAATTCTATTCAAAAACATTCAATCCAAAATACCTATTCTGATAGCACAGGCACGTTATACAAAATTTGAAAAATTCAGATACGTACTGTACACCTTTGGAAAATTGTTCCGTCATGGAGAGTATTGTTAAAAGATCTCAACTTCAAATGAGATGTTATTTATTTACATTAATTAAAAAATATAATTTTTTTCCTTTAACTTAAATACCTAGAGTATTGTAAAAGTTAAAGAAAACCATAGGATTCAGGCAATTAATTATTAAACAATTTTATCACGCTGAATGCTAATCACTTTTTTCATATAATAAAGTCTTTCTGTAAGAAAATTCCCTATCGAAGAATCTTAGAAAATCTTAGGAAAACACAATTTATAATTCATAATACTTTTCAAGTTAATCTGATAAGGACGGGTTCCTATAAAAAGATTGACTTTTAAATACGGTTTCCTGGCCAAATAAGTCGATGTTTGCCCGTATTATGCCACTCTTATCTCATTCCCTATTTAAACGGATCAGTGTTATTAGCAACCCCTCTGCGCTTTGTTGAATATACATATATGAATGCAGTCCCTTTATGGCACATCCGGAGGGGCAAATTGATTACATAATGAATGAAATTGTACAACAAGTCGTTTGTTACAGTTTAATATGTTTTTATCAAGAAATATGCTTCGGTACTGATATTTAAATTTGAAATTTTTATTCCAAAACAATGGGAAATAAATATTAACTGCGATAAAGCAGGGTGAACGGGGTCATTTTTTCGTTTCCTGCTTAACCATATCTTTAGCTATACGATTAAAAACAATCTACCCTCGCTTAAAATTTTATAATAAATGTGATAATTGTCGTATATATTTTAAAATGGTTTATTTTATTATTTTTTAACGGATAGGTAGTAAAAAAAACATGTAAACTTAAAACTTACACCAACCCTCGCGTTGTAGTCACATGTTTTTGTGTGAGAATAATTATCGTTACAAAAAGGATAGTTACTAAAAAAACTAGACAAGCAATTGTAAACAAGGGTTCATCAACCTCGTGGGTGTGACGGCGTTTATAAAGGCCCGCCAGATGCCGGATTAAGAAAAGGGCGCTCACCCCTCGGAATTCTTTTCGAATTCATCTTCCAGGAGGCGTGCTCAGACGAGCCGACAACCGACAAGGGCTGCAGGGTTAAACACTTTTTTAATGCGTGTACACGAAACCCTAATTTAGTTTCATTTTTATCATTTAAGGCCCGTATTGTTTAAATTAAAACGAGAGTTATATATTTGACAATTAAAGCGTAATTCGTAATGTCGCTTCTATAGACAATTTCCCATTTCTCAATGTTTGCAAAAGTATGAACATTTTTTTGAAAAACCTTAGGAGCAAAGTAATGAGAACCTAACTTAAAAAATCATTTTCTTCTTTGATAAATTAAAAATATACCTAAATGTTTATTGTTTTGTGGGATGTCTGATATTTTCTAAACATAAT